TACCAAAAATCCCCGAGTTGAAAACATACCCATAGTGATATACTTTTCCTTGTATAAGAAATGGTGCTGAAATGTCCAGGAGTTCCAGGTCTTCATGGCCAGATCTCACAGGAATTACACTATGAAACTTGTTTGAGAGTTTGCAGATTTCACTGAGTGTACCTCCTGTTAAGAAAGAATTAAAAAGTAGTAGAAATATGATGTAGGCAAAATGGAATACCTGTTAAGTACATGTAAGTTACAGTAAAAGACTATAGTGATTGAGAGATAAAGACAATGCAAGCCATAAATTTAAAGATTCAGTATGTTTATTGTGAAAAATATTAATCTGTAAACTTAAGAATCCTAGATACTGACTAAAGAAATCAGTGTATAAAAATGCCAAGATTTGAGTAAAATATAAAGCCTGTGGAATTTAAACCATCTTCTTACTTCTTTTTTTTTGTAGTTTTGGTCAGGGCTGGGTCTGAACCCACCACCTCCAGTATATGGGGTTGGCGCCCCACTCCTTTGAGCCACAGGTGCCACCCCTAAACCATCTTCTTAAAATCAAACAAATTATACTTTATCTAGAAACACTGTTCAAATAACCAAGAGAATGTAAGTTGAAAGCCAAGGCCTTCTCACTATAACTTTGCTATATACTATTAATGTCTAGGCAAATTTAGTTTTCAGTTTGAAATAAATCTTTTAAACTTTTAGATCAACATTAAATTTAAATATAGACACAAAAAGTAGTTCATGTAATACGCACACATAGTGTTTGTTCCTGGGGAGTAGTGTTTTTTCCTAGACAAATCATCACACTTCCCCTAATTCTAGAATTCAGGATAAGCACTCAGACCTTCAGGTTGGCTGAGAAGTACTGCTCAATGGTGTACCATTATCATCTTTGAAACTCAAACTGACACCTCTTCCAATGCATTTTTCACTTAAACTAAAAATGTTTCCTCTCTCCAGGGAAAGAGCACATGATTAAAAAAAAAAAAAAATCCTCTGTGATTTACTAAAATTGAGGCAGAATTTGTAATGTTAACATTTACTTGTGAGGGATAAACAGTTTTGGCATAGTAAGGACCTCTAAAAATATGCTTTTCCATAAAAGCAGTAGGATC